GTCGGTGCTACGTTGAACATTGTAGAAGAATTAAATGCTATGCTGGTGGCACCGTCGAACCGGTCGACCGAGTCACTTTGTACTTGTTAGGTTTTAATAATACCTGCTGCGGCTATGGCCTCGCCGGTAGTGCCGATCCTCGCCAGCTAGAAGACCCTTCTGCCTCTGCCTTTTTTCGCGAGCCGTGCCGCTGAGGTTCACGGGAACGTGGTCTGAGACGCGAAACGGACCGGTGGTGTGTAGGCATCGGCGATTACATAAGATTAAAACCGGCGATATTCGACGCGATTGACGTGTACCAAAACGCATCGTTATTCGCGCGGGTCGAGTAACACGGTGCGTGCTCATGAGTGCTTGGAATTTGTCGCGGTCCTTCAACCGTTTAGCTCGTTCGTTTTGAATCGTACGAATTTACTGCTCGAATGATTTACAACTGCTTGTTTTCTTGAGGATGTTCAATTTTCGTTAAATACTATTTCTGGTACATAGTGACGTTGAATTGAAGCTGTTCAGTTTTCCTTTCGTGAGAATTCCTGCATTCCTTCGGATGTGATTTGAAACTTTTGGCGAGTAATACGTATGGTGAAGTTCTGACGATGAAATGTGGCGGAATTCGGCGTTGAATCGATGTGCGGTCTGAATTGTTGAGTGAATTATTGAAGCGGTGTATGATTGCGGGTTGAGAAATATATGGGGGATACCGTTGAATCTTCTTTTAGGGATTTTTTCTGAATTGTTGAATTTTTTTTTAGTTAGAAAATTATTGTTCGAAAATTGAACAAAGTAGGTGTGTAGAATTGATTATGGTGATGATTGGTTGTGTACTTACGTAGAAAGTATAAGTGTGATATTAATTTACGTACAGTAATTGATAAAATTTCATTATTATTGAAAAAATTCTCGTACATTACTTAGAACCGTAACTTTAACGTAAATTTAATGAAATACGGTCTAAAGTAAAGATGTATCAGTTATAATTCATATTAAAACAGTACATGGAATTGCTTTTGTTGAAATATAAAACATACTGATAAATAATATTTATTTGGAGTAAACTTTTTCTTATGTTGACCATTGTGTATAAATTAAAATTCTTGGGGGAGTACAATCTCGAAGGTCATCTGAAAATAGATGTCAATTAACGATATTGCACTTTTAGTGGCAGTGGAAGCAGCGACAGTGCCGAAGGTGGAACCAGCGAGAAATTATCTCCAAGCAAACTTTCGGAACTCACGTCACCCAGTCCAGGATCTTCGAACAATTCCTACAGTCTGCTCCAAAATGATAACGTGAGTAAATTGAGAATTTTTGAATTTCTTTCATTTGAAAAATCGATTCTTTAATTTCTTAATTTTTTTAAATAAAAAAGAAATTAAGAAAATTTGGTCAAGAATAAAACAAAGAATTCAGCATGAAATTTACAAAAAAAGATGGCGAAAATAACGGAACTAGATGGGAAAAATAAGAAATAATTAAAAATTATTAACAATAAAATTTAGGATGTCGACATTTTACCAGTAGCAGAGTAATATAGGTAGTAATCATATATTCATAGTTAGAAAAACCTGTACAAAGTAC